GCAAACCTTGGGGAGAAAGCAATGGCCAAGATTGTGCCACGTCACCCCTTTTGCAGCAGCACCCTGCCGACTTCTAAATCTCATAACTTTCACATACGAGCTCCGTTTTCGACGTTATTTATATCCACGCGTAGGTAAAAATAATATCCACAACTTTCATTTTGACTTCGTTGGCTAATTCTCGACCGATCTTAAATTTAACAGTACGAGGAGATTATACTGTTAAATGTCCGCGTAAAATTCATAACTTCTACATACGGACTCCGTTTTCGTCTGTCTTTTTACCGTTGAGTTCCTATTAATGAGATCTTCAATTCTCATTTAGGTCGCGTAGGCCAAAAACTGCTCGATCTAAAATTCGAGTTTCGGGTCGTGCACTGCTATGCCAAATCTTAGAAAATTCATAACTTCCTCATACGAAGTCAGATTTGGGCGTTCTTTTTTTGTATGTTCTCGGTTTAACGTATACTAAAACTTTTGCTTAGATTTCTAAGGCTAAAAATTCCTCCATCGTAAATTCACTATTTACGTCTCCCGGTGCCATGCCGGTTTTTCCGGAAAACTTCGACGGGCCATAACTTCTTCGTTATAACTCAGATTTCGGCGTTCTTTATATGTACGGAACCCTTGTAACATATACTACCATTTGGTTAAGATTACTCCTTCTAAATAATCTTCCATCAAAACTCATTTTTGATGCTTATTGTCTCAAAATTGACTAGCCCGAATCTGCGGGCGTTGCAATTATCTCTCCCTTAGGATGATTACGTCCCAGAATCATCAACGAAACAGAGTTGTATAATGACTCCATACGTTATCTCTTCATCCTAGGTAATAACTGTAACTTCTATGTTTCTTCGAATGCGTATCTAACTCCTGGTCTTCTTGACTGCAAGCGGTGCTTGATCTTGCACCCGTTCTCTGTCTTGTTACACTTTCAATCATGACCTTCATGTCACAAACTCGCTCTTTATCAGAGACTCCTTCTTCTTCTTAACAAACATAAGATAAGTTTATTTAATTTCCACGATAGACCGATGGGTCACGTTCTAATGAACTTTCATCGTATGTTGCAACGCTCAGACTCAGGTCTTTTAGAGTCAAATTCTGGAATTGGATATACTTTCCTTCATGTTCTAATGTGATATAATCACATTTTAACATGTAGCATTTCTAGCTACCAAATTCTTTAACAACGAGCACGATACTTCTATTGATCGCTTCGATTTCAATCTTCTAGTTTAAGTCGGACGCTACATCAAACATAGTTCTCTGAAGCACGTAACATATTTGTCTTAGTCGGACTCGATTTGATATGGCCACTAGGGTCGGAATAACAACAATCTTCTTAGTTATTACCGAAACGATGGTAATGACATACTTTGAATAAAACGGAATCAATTACTAGCTTCTTGGTAACCTTGTGACTTTCCCTGATCCAAGTGTGGGTCCTGTGTTTCCGGTAGTATAGGCCTCTACTACCATTCACACCTACTCATACTCGTCCCAAGTATTGTCTCGCAGTTTTCCAAGTCACCATACAAGAAAATCACATAACAGTTTAACACACCAGATAAGAAAACGAAGGTTTTATTATTATTTCTTGAAACTATTACATAGGTGTCCAAGTTCACCCTAGACTATGCCTCTAATAGGCTACATCATATGATTCTATCCCCTTGGCTACTTCACAACTCGATCTTTGGGTATGAATTCCTCATCCTCGATTCCTTGCATTGTTTTCTGCTTCGTCGAGGATCATGTGGAATGCCCTTGGCTTTGGCGGTGCCTCTGGCCTTGCTGCTTCATTTTTCTTTGGGCAGTCTCTAGACATGTGCCCCTTGCTTCCGCATTCGTAGCATACCTTATCATTTTGTGTAAAATCCTAGGAATAGTGACCGATCCTCCCACACTTGTAACAGGTTACTTCTCCATCCCATCTTCTGAAGTGCTTCTTCTTACACTTTTCACACCACTTGGCTCCATAACTTTGGTTATCCGGGTTAGACTTCGGGAACTTTCCTTTCTTATCAGGTCTTGAGGATTCTTCAAGCTTCCTCTTCTCGCCAACTTCAGCTTTTTCCAGACCCTTTTCCCTTATTTGGGTCTCAACATTCTTGGCTGCCCAGATGGCGGCTTTCAAAGTGGTTGCTTGCTTGACCATTGGACCAAAGTCCGCTGGTAATCCATGGGCGAACTTGTTGACCTTGGAGAGTTCAGTTGGAACTAAGTAAGGAACAAGCTTCATTTTCTCCGTAAAACTTGCAGCGTACTCGGTAACGCTCATTCTTCCTTTCTTTAGGTTCTGAAACTCGTTGTTGATCTCTAGTAGATCCTGCTCAGAGCAGTACTGCATTTTTAGTTGCACTAGGAAATCTTCCCAAGAAATCTTGCTTGCTTCTCCTTTGGGCATCGTATCTGCCAATAACTTCCACCAGCTCAAGACTCCGGTCTTCAGTTGTCTGACCGCAAAGACGGTTTTCTGCTTGTTGCTACAGTCGCAGCTCTCAAACACCATCTCCATTTCAGAGATCCAGTCCATAATCTCTATAGGCTTCGGGCTTCCTGAGAGACTCGGTGGTTTTGCACTCAAGAAGTTCTTATACATTCGCCCATCCTTGTCGTTTCCCCTCTCTGGGCCATTTCTTCGTTCTCCTTTAGTCCCAGCTTGACTCACATGGCGGGTGTAGTTCCCTTCCTCCGATTGCTCGGGGACCAGTTCAGGTTGTACGATCGGTATTGTAGCTTCCTCTCGGTTCTGTTGAAGTAAGCGTCTGGTCTCCTCCATTTGATGATCCAACATCATTTGGATCATTGCTTGTACTCCGGCCATAGTGATTGGCTCAGGAGCGGCTACCACAACAGGTATTTGCTCAATCACTGGGGGTTGATTCCTGTTTCCGTTCGCGTTTCCGGCTCCGCTTCGGGTTCTTGCCATTTCGATCTTATTCACCAAATTAGGCATTTGGTGTGAAATGACGAGAATTAAGATAGTAAATATTTTATTTACGATCGACGTGTAAACCTCCCCATCACTCCAAAAAGTTACATGCCAGTTCTAATACCGTATTTAAACGTTTAGAAATCTGAACACATAAAGTTTCCAGATCCGGTCGGCAACAGACCATAGATCCGATCATACATTTAGCATCATAAATCATTTAGCCCATAAAAGCATGTTAGGCATTTTCCCTAAATTAGCTAGTGATTGTGTCTATTCAGGTGTATTACCTAAATTTTATTAGACACACACCTCACGATCATCACTTAGCATTCTAAGTTTAAGTCTAGAAATAAATCCATATTCCTAGTTCGCTTAAACTAATGCTCTGATACCAACTGTGACATCCCCATTTTTCACGGCCAGAAAAGACCGATTTTGTTTATGCTTTATAAAAATCAGAGTACCTCTTTTAATAAAAATGTTGCGGAATTTGTTCCCAGAAAAACATGATAAATACGTTATCAAAGCATTTCCGAAGAAATGTATTTTTATCCATTTTAAAACAATTGGGATGTCATCGTCAATACAGAAACATAAGCATAAACAGAACTTACATTCATTTACATTAGTGATCTACATCTCTTTTAAATCCCTCAGTGTAAAGTAGCTTCATATCGACACCTGTGATACAAATAAGCTTGAGTGGGTCAGGTTGGAAAACCTGGTGAGTACATAGGGTTTTCAACCCACAATAATTTAATTATTATGTTTAAACATAAAACAATCAACCCAATTACCCATCCCCATTATCTTCGTTATTCTTAAGGGTCTACCCTAAGAATCATCTATCCTGCATTCATTCATTCCGAAGTCCATCGCTTCCAGGGTTCATATGACAAGCACTAAGTCCATAGCTGCCAATGCTCATTCGTAAAGCACTAAATCCATAGCTGCTAATCTTCATTTATCGGGCATTAAGTTCATTGCTACCAACGTTTATCTAATGGGTACTAAGTCCATAGCTACCAACGTTTCTCTAACAGGTACTAAGTCCATAGCTACCAGTGTTTATCTAATAGGCACTAAGTCCATAGCTGCTGATGTTCTTTATTAGGCACTAAGTCTATAGCTGCCAATGTTTACTCATACCATCTTTCATCTCTCATCGTTCATCTACCCATGTTTTACCCAACATATTCGTAGATATAAAATACATATACAGTTTAAATCATTTAAAACATGTATAAAATCTTTCATCCGGCATAGAAAGCAAGTATTCAAATAATATGTACACATAGCACGTAATTTATATAAAATACTTCATATCTATGTGTAAGATGAAAGTAACTATGCACTCACCTGCAATGGTGGTGACTCGGTACTCGGACACCGTATCGGAATCCATGGTACACTGTACCAGGCTGTACCGCGCCGTACCGAAATGAATCTACCCCCACCGTATCCGATACGTCCTAATTGGCGAACCGCGTTCCCGATCCTCGTTCCCGTACCGGAGCATACCGCGAACTATGTGACTATGACCCTGACATTGTGTTTTTATAATATTTATGTTTACTTACGGATTTCGACAACCGAAATAAAATATATTTAGTTGTTGACCGTCGGTAATCACCAACAAATTTGTCACTAATTAGGACGTCTCATTCTATTGGTGATCTGTCGGTATTTTCCGACGGAATGATTCTATTGGTATTTCACATTTTTTTAGTAGCTCTCTCTCTCATAGATCACCATACCAAAATTTTGTTGATTATTGATTTTATTGTTTGTTTGGTTGCTTTTGACATTGTTATCTTATTGTTTTGGCATTCTATTTGTTTCCTTTCGTTGTTGGGACGATACAAACTATTTTAGGGATCAAGGGTTTGGGTAATGTGGTGATAACTTTTGTTATGGTTTGGACATTTTCCTTAAACCTAATAGAAAACTCCTGCAAAAGATATGCTAAACAACTTAGTAAACAAAAAGGATTGCACATGTATCATTTCATGTCTCATATATATACATAAAAACTCTTTACAAGCATTTGACTAGGATATAATCTCAAATCTCCAACAAACATACTACCAAAATTTCCTAAATCTCATCTCATACTAAATAATAAACTAACCAAAACTCCCAAGAACTGTTGTGAATTGATGATGACTGATGAGGGTTCTTGAGTTTTTAGAATTTCGAATACCATCAGTTGTTTTGCTGATCACGACCTAGCAAAACTTCTTTGCCTTAAAAAAGGTGAAAGTTTCTTTGAAATTGTTGATTTAGGGAGTGTGTGTAACTTGTAGTTATCTAAACCACCTCCATAGCTTTTGCTATTAGTTTTCATCTTCCTCATCCTGGTGTACGGATTCTTTAGTTTCTTTGGAAGGTCCTCTATGCTCACCACTTTTGCAAGAGATGTAAATGATTCTGATTTCCCGTGATAAAACTGTGATAACCCTCTTCTGGAAACAAAAACAAACCCAGTTTAATATACAGATTCTTGATCAAAACTACAAAACAAAAACTCAAATTTCAAATCGTTTTGTTCAGAAACTTACTTGATAGGTAACTCGGACATAAGGCTCGATAAATCAAGTAGAGAAGATTTATTTGAGTTAACTGAAGATGAAGATGAAGCATCGTCTGTTGTATCTAATGAAGAACATGAAAAAATTGATGATGATCCATTTGAGATTGTTGAAGCTCCTTCAAAGGATTCGTGATCCGACTTTTCCATGAAACCCCAGGTATGTTCAGGATGATTATCTTGAAAGATTTTATTTTTGAATTCACACATTTTTTCCATCAAAAGATAAGATGATAAACCGAATGAAGAAAAATGAAGAAAGTTTCAATTTTGATGAGTTTTCTCAACGAATGGCCAAGAATAAAGGGTTTGACGAATTGTGGTATATGGGTTATGGAAGCTTTCTGTGGGAGCACCTTATATACAAGAGGGTTTATGGTCAGCTTTAACACGTGGCAAGCATCTGTTGGGACTATCGAATAGCTTTTAGTACCTTACCAATTCTACCCACTTGCCCGAATTCCATTACTAGATATGGATGGAGCTTTTTCAAAATAAATAAATAATATACAATTATCCTAGTACCCTTTTTAATAATTCAATGCGCTTTTTAATTGATCAGGACATCAAAAAACAACAAAACATTTATCTAAATATTAAATAATTTTTAAAACATGAATTTTAAGAAAACAGTAATAATTTTGATCTTTTAAATTTACGTATATATGTACGTATATATGTTTGTGAGAATATAATATGTATGTAAGGTCAGTCTTTTTTTTTATATAAAATCAAATTCGTTAATACTACGATAAGTCAATAAATATCATAAAAATGACTATATAAAATATAATCTTACATAGTTACATAAATTACGAAACTCTCTTATTATTTTTTGAAGCAAACTTTGTATCAATTCTTACATAGGTAGTTTTCTTTGTGACATTGGAGTTGATTAGTCATTTAAATATGTTTGTTCAATTACATATATACGTATACATGTATTATACGTGTATTGTAAAAATAGGCCTCTTTATGACATTGGCCATGGTCAGTCGTCCACGTCGCACTCCTTTGGACAAGCTCATGTATGTACACATGTGTGTATGTATACATGTATATGAATATTTACATATATCTACAAAAATACATAAGTTAATACACATTTTCTTCTCATAGTTAAATAGCCCTTTGTTTGTACTTTGTATATATAAAGAAGTGCTAAACTCGCCAGATTACACTATTAAAAAAATGCATATTCCGTAATATGTAATTAAATCTTTTGTATTGTGATTTTGGGTTAAAAAAATCAATGTTTCTCGTATATCATATCACAAGATTAAATTCAATAAATTGTTGAAAACGAATATTTAAAAAGAGAAAAGGGAAAATTTATTTAGTTGGAGATGAGAGAAGGATGGGTCGTTATCTTGAGCTTCTGGGGCGGGATTTGACCAACCAAAAAGCGTGTCGTTGATAACGGGGATGAGTGGATAAGCTCGAAATTCTTAATTCTTTATTTTCCTCACATTTCATGCATATCCTTTTGCACCCCATTTTTCATGTTTATTATTATTATTATTATTATTATTATATTGAATAAAATTTCTTTAAGAATATCCGTGTAATCAAAAGACCTAATTTGCAGCAACCAACAGTAACACTGATAAATTTTGAAAGTTAAAAGGGTAAAATTATTATTCGATCTATGATGTAAATTAATGTTGGATAACAAATCGAAAAAAATTGAGTTAAAACATATAAATCTTTTCATTTGGTGGATTTGGTTAATTTGTTTGACAACAAATTCTTTTGTCTACTTTTTCTTATACTAAGTACTATATTATTGTTCAAAAACTATATCACTAATTAATAATCTAATATTTCAAATAAGACAATTATAAACTTATACATATAGTAAAAAAATCGAACATCTCCGACATATTTAACCCGCTTAATAAGTTATTTTAGCTAAAACATCTTATATTGAATAATTATTAATTAAACTAATCAAAACTATTACTTCTTACTTTTATCCTCATCTTCATATATATTATATATGTGGTACGTATTAGGGGTGTGCACAAAACCGCACAAACCGCATAAACCGTCCGCACCGCACCGCACCGCATAATGCGGTTTTCAATGTTCGCGGTGCGGTTCGTGGTTTGTAGTTTTTGTAAACCGCAATATGTTGTGCGATTTGTGGTTTATGCTTACGCAAACGCGGTTCAAACCGCACCGCACCACATTATATATAAGGTAAGATACATGTCTATTATTATTAATTATAAAAAACATTATTAATTTATTATGTACAACAAATTCTAACAAGTGCAAAATAGCAAATTGGTCGCTAAACAATGGGACAGTATACAACCATTGTTTCAGTTATAACAAATTCTAACACATTTTTGTCTATTTATAAAGATACTTGACAAATTAGGTATCAAACTATATTGATTATATTAAATCAATATCTTTAAAAGAATAAAATTAAATTTATCATGGAAAAATATATCTATCTGAGTGCAAACTCTATTTTGGATTTAGCCGACACATAACTTTCATTTTCATAATAGGATATTAAAATTGGTGGGAAAAATAGCACTAATACATATCAAATTAATAACGATGTTAGGGATATTAAAACAATCGTTTACCACAGTTATATACAACTCGTTATTTGTTATATGATAAAAAATCATTTAATCGTAGTTACATACTAATGCGTATAAAACTTGAATACACAATAACTTATTTGTTATTTGTTATTCACTAAACCGCACCAAACCAAACCGCACCGCACCGCATAATGCGGTTTAGAACCTTAACGGTGCGGTTTGCGGTTTCCAAAAATCCCAAACCGCACATGCGGTGCGGTTTGCGGTTTTGACTCTAAACCGCATCAAACCACACCGCGCACACCCCTAGTACGTATCTTATCATAAAGCATAACGTGGAATAGCATATTTGCATATTCTTACCAACCTAACAGTATTCTTTGTCGGTGTGTCCAATTCTAGGGATACTTATTACAAAAGTTTTTAATCTCTATATTATTTTATTTCAATTATTTTGGTTCAGAAGAGAATTACATGTTACAATATATATCAAAACAATAATGTTACTGGTATTATTTTCTTCAAATTGTAATATACATAATCATTTTATCTGAATTATTAAGAGTTAAAACAATCATAATTGTTAACATACATTATTCTCCTATACTTCAAAATATATTTTGTAATCATTTGTAATTAGTATTTTTTTTCTTTCATAAGAACACTTCTAATGATTAAATAACCTCATAGTAAATTATAGTTTTGGTCACATTTTCAGTCTAATTTTTAAAAATTTAACAAGATGTATCACTGTGGTGGTTAAACTACACATTCATAATCCATTTAAAAAGACCATTTTACATTTACTTTTAGATTTTTGTTTTTCTTATATATATATATATATATATATATATATATATATATATTATATATATATATATATATATAGGTTTAGCTTATTTTGTTTTTACTAACTATTTTGTGCCAGAATGTATAGATCTGGATCACCGGATGAATAGAATCAACAATCATGATCTGAGAGTCTATGATATTACAATAGGGTAGCATGTATCATATAATCACATAAATTTCAACAAAAGGGTATTTTGGTCAATTAACCTATTTTAAAAAAGGAAATTTTCGGATTTTAAGGGATTATTAATTCCCTTATTTTTTAAAAATCCGAATTTTTTTAATTAATTCTAATTAAATTTTAATATTACTTTTAATAATAACCGATTTTATTCTGTCAGAATGACAAAAAGTCAACAATAAACTAGTAAATATATTTGATGTTTTATTCTTGCAGAATATTGTTTCATTCAAGATACTTTTTATATTAAACATGCTTAAAGAATTATACAAAATATTATCAAGAATAACATTTTCTAAAGAATACGGATTTTATTCTTTAAGAATCATAATTTACATTCATCCGTAAAGAAAAAGACTATAAACAATTATTACAATCATTCGAAAAAAAATTATGACTAATAATGGTTTAAGGATTACATTTATTCTTAAAGATTAAAACTAAAAATGGTTAAAAAAAGAAAAAACATCAAAATCTAACAAAAACACTACTCTATTCCGAAAGAATATTATTGTTAAGAAACAATTTATAAATTCTGACAGAATACATTCTGTTAGAATACAATATCGTTCTCCATGTTTTCTTCATTTTCCATATTAATGACAACCTCTTCAAAACCTAAATTCACAAGGAAAACATAATCAACTTTCAAATATTAAAAATTTTAGTGCATTAAATAGAATAAAACAATAAATTCTAATAGAATGTGATATACATTCAAATAGAATATAACTATAATTTCTACAGACCAACATTAACAATCATCCCTAAACTTGCAATGTATATTATCCTAAAAGAATGTAATGTTTCATTATTTAGGATGTCATTCTATAAGAATCGAGACCAATAACAAGAATAGAAACTAATTTTATTCTGACAGAATTGGTTACGGTAATTCACTGCTTAAGTTGACAAGGAATTCAAGATTCTATTCTGACAAAATTAGAATTCGATATTCCATTCTAGCAGAATGATCGGCATTAAGATGCATTAAAAAAACCTAACAATATAAATAGAAAAAAGGACTATGAAATTGAAATAGCAGGATACATACAATGCATAAACATATATACTTATTTGTTGGTTAAAAAACTGATGATTGTTTTCCAAAATCAAAATCAAAAAGTAATTGGATGTAAAATTTATTTTCAGGATTGAGGTAAATAATTTCTACAGTTAAGCACAAGTTACTACATCACATAAACAATCTTTTGTTTTCTAGTTACAAATACCTAGATTTCAACTATGCATTTTATCGAACACGTGGTGTGCTTATTCAGTTTCTTCAAAAAAAATTAGTGAGAGTCTTACCAATTCAGTTTCTTGGTGGTCGGGAACTGGAGATACGGAATACGACTTCTACGACTTCGGGTCTTCAACAGCAGAAAACGTTTGAGCCTCTGGAATTGATGGCTCCTCTTCAATCATCATGTCGTCATTGATGACGACATCCATGGAGTTGATAACTCCTTCTGTACATAATCGCTTGGTTCTGAACATCGCTTCTCTTCAACCATAAGCATAACCAAATTTCCTTTTCAACCATAAATCAAATACCTAAACATGGAACAATTCAAACTAGAAAGCATAAATTAACAATTAAAAATTCAAGACGATGGGGAATTTATGTCTTGATTAATTATTGTTAGATTCAATTGATCAGTTTTTTATAAAAGGAGAATTGCAACGGTACCTGATTTTGGTCTCTTATAAAAAGAGAAAGAACATACTGTTTGTATAAGAATTGGATCTTTGAAGGGCTTGTCGTAGATTAAAGGCTAAGAATAATCTTAACGTCGAAACACACCAACACCACCAGCTTCATCACCATCTCTCTACCGCCGTAGCCATATTTTTGCAACCGCCATAGCCATATTCGGTGATAGAATACGAAGCCGACGATGGAGAGGGAGGAAGAAGAAGATACGGCAGTGGCAAGATGAGGGATACAGTCTGCGAATGGTCGATGGTTCTAAAGAAAAGATATTAGGTCAACATATATTTATTTTGTTTCCTTAATTGCAAGTGCGAAAAACCAGAAATGCCCTTATTGATTTAATTAATTATTTAATTATTTGCTAATTTGTGATAGGTGCATTTAGGCACATAATAGTTGCTAGAAACATTTGAACCTCTCTCTCTCTCTCTCTCTCTCTCTCTATATATATATATATATATATATAATATATATATATATATATATATTATATATATATATATATATATATATATATAATTGTTTAATTTTTTTATATTTTGCCGCTTACATTTTATTTTATTTATGTATATTTTTTTATGATTTATATATATATTTTTTGAAAATTTATTCGAATATATTTTTTTAATGTTTTTTATATTTTGTTCGTTTACATGTTTTTGACGTTACTTTTGAATAATTTTTTTAGTTTTTTTATGTTTTTGTTCGAATATATTTTTTAATGGTTTTTTGATCTTTTGTTTATTTATATTTTTGTAAAGATCTTTATAAATACTTTTGTATAAAAAAATATAAAAAAGTTTTTTAAATGTGGATATGATTAAGACATATTAAGTATAAAATTATTTATTTTAATAGGTTTATTGTATAGGCTAACTAGAATTCAAAACAAGTGTGAATAGCTTCGAGTTCAATTTATTTAGTTTTAGAAATTTTTTTACATTTTGTTATGAATGGCAATATTAATCCAAATACATATTATTCAAACACATGTGTCAATGTTTTCGAGTTCATTTTTAATTTTTAGAAATTTTGTTCGTTTTCGAGTTATATTGTTTCCAATTAGTCATTATATAACTTGAAACTCGTTTACGAATTTTGGTTAACCTATCTATTAATCATATTAAAAAAATAATTTTTAACGTAATCTATGTTAATAATATTCACATTTAACGAACTATTTTACATTTTTTACAAAAAATATTTTAGAAAATATAAACAAACAAAACGTCAAAAAAAATGTATTCAAACAACACGTCAAAAAACTAGAAAAAATTATTCAAAAAGCATCAAAAAAATATAAACGAACAAAAATTTAAAAAAAACATTAAACAATATATCCGAAAAAATATCAAATAAAACCTAACTAATAAAAAATATAAATAAATAAAATAAAATGTAAGCGAACAAATAAAAAAATAAACAATAATATATATATATATATATATATATATATATATATATATATATATATATATATAAAAGTAATGGTAAAATGGTCTTTTTAAATGGACTAAAGATGTGCAATGTTATTTCTTTAAACCACAGGGATGCATCTTGTCAAATTTTCAAAGGTTTAACTAAAAGTGCATATCTGACCAAACCACAAGGACCAAAACTGTAATTTACTCTTAACCTCATGATAACCTATTTTTTTTGTCGTATCAATTTTGCAGTTTCTGTTAACTTTATAAATAAATTATAAAAATATATTTCCAAAGATTAAGCTTTTCAAAAGCTTTTTAATTTCATCTGCAGTGACTCTAAGGCATAGCCTCATGTTAGCTAGGGATTAGTCGGTGAATGAAATTTGGCCCGAAAACTCTCTTTAAGAAAGTTTATTTTCTAAAAAAACTAGTTCACCATTTATCTGTCTTGATTCTTTTACCTGTAACGTCCTAAAAATTACAAGAAAGATTTTTCATTTTAAATAGGTTAACCAATAAAACTTACTTAAAATCATTATGTGACATTCATTTGTTTGAAAATCATAAGATTTATAGAGTTAAATTGCCAAAACAACGAAAACCAATATCTTCGACACGTGTATACAATCCCATTGAGCTCTTCTCACGAACAACCTACAAAATATTTAGTCCATAACTGTAAGCATAAATCTTAGTAAGTTTCCTAATATACCATATACTCCATCATATATATACAGTGCATACAAACAAGTCCTCGGCTTTAGCGTCGATCTATCAACTCTCTTATCAACAAGCATACAACATATATCCAATCATATGTATCATCTACTAGCACTTTGCCACTTGCTCTTAGCCACTACTACTATCGGCTTTCAGTCGCCCTGCCATCATTAGCCTCTCGCCGGAACCATATCCATATCGGGGTCAATGCTAATATTGACTAACGCCTCATGAATATGTAAAGTGAAACGATTTGTGTTTGAATCAATCGATGTAAAGAAAGCAAGAAAGAATGCAGAGATGTAAATAGATCTATTTTCAGCTCAATTAGTTGTCTGGAACCATACAAAGAGTATGAGAGTACAAGATTGTATACGCGAAAGTTCCTTACTCTAACTCTATGTAATTACCCTATTTATAGGGTACTCACGGACCAAAAATTACAAGGGCTAGACATTACAGGCGAAACTCTAATATGCCTTGTAAATAGATAAAGATAACGAAAGTCCTTAAACTTTCGCTATTTACAGACGCTAACATAAAGACACTAGATTCGACTCTACATTCTCCCCCTTTTGGGAACAATCGAATCTTCAATCCTGTGTCTTCATTGTCTGTAACAACTCCTTTCTGATCTCCATATACCAAAGAATGATTTTTCGAACCTCCACCTTATCTTCATTATCATTCTTCTTGCAGTTATTGATGCGAAGTAAAATGTTCGAAAAATGAGAGTTCGTGTATCTCTCAATATCATTCGTTCGAAAGAGAAACTTTGTTAAATTTCCTCTTTTATTCTTTCCTTGGAAAACAACACCAAAAGGTTTATGTATTATTTCCCCATCTTCAAACTTCTCGATGTTAAGCTTCCCTTTTAACAACGATTTCGGCATCTTTGAAGTTTTGTTGATTGTCATGGAAAGATCTATATTTTTATAGCCAAATAATCATAGTAGCAATCAATGAAGGCCTTGATGTGAGCATATCCAATAACAAATGCATTTTGATTCTCCTCAGCCACTTGTGAAGTATCCACATCACACAAGATATTCGACACCGTGATGAGATCATTAAGATTCATTAATGGAAAATCTGCGATAGTGAACTCGAAAGCCACATTGTTTGCTCTCACAAGAGAATATCGAAAATTATGCATCAATCCCATTAACAAAACATCAAGTACTATCAAAATAACCCTAACTATCTTCACCAATGACCAAACCTCCTCTTTGCTTTTTCCCACGATTGCATGAATCAAATCTTCAACCTTTTGAATTCATATTTGGCCTTGAAACTTTCAGCGAGTTTAAATTGACTGAAAGTAAACATTAGATGATTTATAGGAAAATCAAGCTGACTGAAGTTGGAGTTTTCAGTGTCATAGCTTCTCTTAGGTTTCTTCATAAACTCCTCCACTTAGTCAAGCACAGCTATTTCAATAGTTTCATAACACCAAGCCTTGTTAGGAACACCTTTGTTCAAGCCTGGAGGATCATTCACCCTTTGATTTAGAATGATGTTTACTTGTCTCTGTCTTTCTATTTCAATTTATTGCAACCTTTTCTTCTCTTCAGTGGAAGGTTCAACATTAATACTTTTCCCTTTATGTTTGGGTTCGACGGTTGGAGTTTTCTTGACATTCGCAGAACTCGAACCTCCACCTTCTTCATTAATCAAAATTCCTTTCTTTTGTACTTTCGACAAGTCCACATTGACCTGAGGAGCATTCAATGTTGTTGTTGTTGACAATATTGGTTTCATTGGAATATATGTAGGAATTTGTATAGACAAAACCCTTCCCACAACTATACCTTTATCTTCGCCTGATCCTCTGGATGAACCAACCCCCTTTTTCTCCCCTTTGAGAGACGTGTGCAGGATGTGGAGCATTAGTTGGTAAGCGAAGAACCAAGTCAAGTATAGGAGACAACTCGGTCGTGAAACTTGACTCAACTGAAGAAACCATTGCAGAGATAGATTCTTGAGAAATCAAATTCGATGTAGGCACATCAAGTTTCGATATTTGCTCATGAAGTCTAGTCAGCGAATTTTTGAATCTTCATAAAGACTTGACTGTCTGCTTCCTTCTTCTCTGATAAACCTTCGACATAATCTTTATTGAAGGCACGAATATCTTCAATCATGGTACAAATGGCCCTAATCAATGTCTCAACACTTCCTTTCACTTAACCATAATATTTATCAAATCTGGTAACCTCTTGATCCAACTTCTTTATAAGATCATTAAGATTGAATTCAATTGATTGTTCGAAGAATTCACAAATTTTCTCCAAATGTTCATGATTTGCTTCAAGTTTCGTATCAAGATCAGCTATCAATGCTTTCATTTTGAGCTCTTAAGACTTAAGCAAAAATTTGACTTCTGAACTACTAACACTTGACTTGCCAGTCCTATCGTTCAAAAATTGAAAAATCGAATTCATCTTGGAGTTAAAAATTTTGAATTGTTTACCAGACATAATAGCTTCATCTGGAACATCATCTTCATTAGGATTGAATTCCAAATCTACAAAACTAACCATCACATCATCATCATTTATTTCTTCTTCATGAATAGTCTTCTCAGCATCAGTAGATTGAGATGAGAATAAGATAGTAATTGGCTCTTGCATCACTTTCTCAAAGGTAGGAGAAACAGTTGAAGTAGATGTTGGTAAAATGGTTGATGGTTGTGGTGGTGAAGTAGGTGGTGGTAGTGGAACAGTAGAAGTATCAATTGCAGTTGTCGAACCCCCGTAGTGGTGGTGAAGTAGGTGGTGGTAGTGGAACAGTAGAAGTATCTCATTGATGTTTGAAGTTTCGTCCTCCTCCATATTGGACTTGGAATGCAAAACTTCGGGTGGAATGATTATCGTCTACTTAGGGAGTGATTGAATGATTCGTTCACCAGAATCAGTGTTTGCATACGTATTAGATACGTTCGCAGTGACACCAGGATTATTTGTCTCCTCGAATATCGATTCGATAATGATAACCTTCCTGGATGAAATTTGAAAAGAACCAACTGTAGCATCATCAGTTTCTTCATTACCATTGTTTGTTTCCACTGTAACTTTCTCCATCTATTCCTCAATAGGAGTGGGCATAAGCTTCTTCAATATTTGAACCACTTCTAAAGATTTTCTCTTTTTGGATGTTGGAGAATCAGGAGTCGAAACACCTTTCATCATAACTCCTCTCCTTGTAACCTTCAACTGGATCTTCTTGGATTTCTTAGAAACAACTATTTGACTAGGAGTTTCGCCTTCTTGAGTCATGGTGGCTTCAATAGGAGTAGGAATTTCCTCAACAGCTTTATCCACTAGTTTCTCTTGTTGCTTCTCATATTGATTCATAGATTGTGACTTTGATTGTTTTTCAGGAATATTTTTCTTCATCTTCTTGAGTACACCATTTCCTGACTTTTTGGGTAATGTTTTCTTAACCACTTCTTCCTCATCAGCCTTAGGTTTCGTAGCTTGTTTCTTCTTTTTCGTGCCTTTGGCTGCTTTAGAAAAACCCTCAGTAGCTTCAAAAGTGATTGTTTTAGGAGAATCTCAGTAGGAGTTGGATCCATAGAAGCTTTGTACGCGATTAACAAGTTGTTTTATGAGAAACCAAGTTGAGCATCGAATCAGGGATTCAACCAACCATGGGAAAAGTTGTGGGATCATCAACCGCATACTTTGGGATTGTCATTGAAGCGAAAGTAGCGAATTCATCATCATAAGGAAAAAGAATACTTTCTTGTGTATAAACTTCATGTAGAATCAAGCTCTAAAACGTAGCACTCGAAATTTATGTGGTCATCTTCGAATGAGAAATAGAATTCCCAAACTTAGCCCAAAGTAATGACGCATAATCAACGTTTAGACCATAATACAAACCATCCATGATCGAATAAAATTCAGGTTTTGCTTTATCCAAATCTGAACTCCTGGCTGTCAAACACCGTAAAGTAATAGAAGAAACTCCAAATGACTGGAAGATTTGACTTCCTGAATTGACTGATAACCGAAACAGTCGGTTGATGACCCATCTCATTGAACATATAAATAACCTGGTCACTTGTAACTGCAACACACTCTCCTCTATTTGGCAACTTTAGAATTTGGGTGAACTGCTTCTTTGTCAATTTCTTAGTCTTGTTTGATGTCAATTGGAACGTAACGAGTCCAGTCATTCTGTTGTAAACATCAGTAGAAGCGGTCAAGGATAACTATTTCATTGGAATTACAAACGATGCAGATAAAACATGAGTAAGAACATAATCATTTAGTACTTGGACCAACATTTGTAGTTCTTAAGGATAATCGTTGAGCAGAGGGTTGAGCCAAAGATTATTATGTTGAATCTTCATTTTTGGGTTGCGATATTTCATCATCATTGGTGTTGGATTGATCAACAACGCCCGTTTGAGCAGCCATGATGAACAATTTAAGAGAGAATTTTGCGATTGAATTTCAGAAACAATTTAGGGTTTGTATGTGATATCTGGGAAAGTAAAGTGGTAAATGGAATGATCATCTTCCTTAAATAACCGGCGTCAAATTTGAAATTAAACGTTGCCCAATCAGAGAAAGCCATGTGTAGAGTAGGTTACTTAACCGCCACCACAATAAATTGCCACGTGTAAAAGTGATGATCACTTTTTGTCTCGAGCCACGAGAAAATACCGTCCCATCCAACGGATATTTCGCCACGCCCCAAAAATTGAACTGTCATATGTTTCGACACCAAACAAGAACCATTCGTCGGTATGGAGGCCAGGCTCATTCAGTTATGGGAAGGATAAGCGAAATCATTTCCCATACTTGAGAATGTAGGTTTGAGTTGGTAGTACCCATAACCTCGAGGATTTCAGTGCTTAAGTGTGCCAAAAGAAAAGATAGAATCAATTTATAAAATTTTTGGACATTGTGATATCAAAGAAACTTTGATATAAAAGCGGATAGATCCCGGGCAAAGATACACGCCATTCGTCATCAAGAGAGATGTCGAATTGCTTGTGTGGTTTCCCGTGAATTACAATCGAAAACTCATTGAGGAATAACGAAGGGCCTCTTTTAATTAGGTTCATGGGTGGCTTTATTTTTCACACAAATTCACAACTTGACATAAGTGAAAATAATTGTGTAAAAATACTTGGATGACCAGTGTAGTCAAGAACAAGTAAGTTTTGAAAAAATTTTATAGTGACGAAGGAGATAAATAGATGTTTAAAGGAAAATCTCATTTCATAAAAATTAAAAATTTGGATCTATTGGGAAGAAATGATTTGGGATGAGTACATTTTATTAAGATCGCGCAAAGGAAATGAAAATGAAATTTTGAACATAGAAAATTGTACAGTGGAACAAGTGTTTCGTTAGAATCTTGAATAATAAATGTTTGTCGTCAATTCATTCAGTTTTAGTTTGTTGCGTCTCATCTTCATCATGGAAAAATGATGTCAGATCATAAACACAAATTTGTGACATACCTATATCCTGGTTGGTTTCGACCAGAGATGTCTAGGGCATGTGTCATTGTGTGTGACCGTGTTATAAATTTTGGGTGAAATAGATTGGATGCGAAAACACATTGTACCTCTGTGAATAATTGGACTTGGCAGTAATCTCTTTACTCAAAATGAGAAGAGAAAGGTAGCTCATCGACTATTGTGAATATAGACTAATTGGGAAGAAATTTTCATAAGAAAAAAGTTCATTAAGGCTTCGTACACAAAGAGTCTATGAGGCTTATGGACAACATGTTGTAGCATGCTTCTAGGGACACTTAACTAGTACAAAAGTTTCGTATCATACCAGTTCCCTGTGGATCTTCTCGTTAGGCATGTGAAATTGCAACAAGTTGTTACAATGAAGCTCTCCAATCCAAAAGAAAATAAGGAAAATATATTTTTGTAATTTTTGATTTTTGAAAATTAAAATTCAATGAAAATAAAAATATTTTTGGATTTTTGATTTTCATAAGGAAAAGACAAAAATAATAAAATCTTTTTCGATTTTTGAATTTTCTAAAAAAAGGACGAAAAATAAGAAAAAAAAATTTGGATTTTTGATGTTTATAAAGAAAAGATAAAAATAAGAAAAGGATATCACCGGCATTGGTTATTTGTTAGAAATAAAAAATATTTCGCATGCGAACCAATGTTTTCCCATCTCCCAAGAAATTTTCGATAAACAAGCGCTCAACAATGGTACACACTTCCCATTGATAGACCATTTCCATTCTCTAGGCGTGAACTTGTGTTGAACGGATCAAAGACAAAGTCGAATGTGAAGCGGGTCGAACGCTTAATATGAACAGTAACCTATGAAAGAAAATTTGACAAGTAACGAAAGTTAGTCCAAGTAGCGAAAGTTCGACCAAAAATTTAAAATCTCAAATTCAATAAAAATTTGGCAAAATTAGGAACATAACAAGCTTCCATCATTCTCAACCCATTTAAAATTCTTAAAAATGATTTTTCGTCCAACGGTTTTGTAAAAATATCATCAAGTTAATCAGTTGTTTTAACAAAATGAACTTCAATATTCTCATCTTCAACATGATCTTTTATGAAGTGGTATCGAAGTGCAATATGCTTAGTTTTGGAATGTTGAACTGGATTATGACATATGTGAATTGTGCTTTGAGAATCGTAGTATAATGGAATTTTCTTCATGTTAATCACATAGTTACGTAGTTGACTTTGAATTCAGATTACTTGAGAGGTACAAGCAGCAGCAACAATGTATTCAGCCTCAGCTGTCGAAATCGATACACACGTCTGATTTTTCGACTGCCAACTAACAAGTTTCCCATCTAAGAATTGACATCCTCTTGTAGTGCTTTTTCGATCCAACTGACAACCTCCTGGATCAGCATCTGAAATAAGATTGGATAAAGAATCATGTATTCAGTGGATACCATATCCAAGAGTCGAAGTGCCAGAAGATAACGAAAAATATGCTTCACCGCTGTAAGATGAGGTTCACGGGGATTTGCTTAATACCTGGCACAATTACACACAGAAAACATAATATCAGGTCAACTTGCAGTTAAGTATAATAACGAACCGATCATGCTTATATATGTCTTGAGATCAACAGCAAGCTCATCCAACGAAGGACCTAAGCGAGTGCTGACCGTCAGAGGAACTTTAGCTTTTGAACAATTCGTCATCCTAAATCTTTCAAGCAGGTTTCGAGTGTAGTTTTCTTGATTAATGAAAATTCCATCCCTGCTTTGACGAATGTTCAAACCCAAGAAGTGATTGATTTTCCCCATCATGCTTATTTCAAATTTACTCTTCATACGCCCCTCAAACTCCTTTGACAACGAAGGATCAGTAGAACCAAATATAATGTCATTGACATAAATTTGAACAAGCATTAGGTGATCCCCTACTTTCTTACAAAATAAAGTGGGATCAACTGATACTTGCTTAAATTTAGCGATTTTCAAAAAATTGGTAAGCGTCGCATACCAAGCACGAGGTGCTTGTTTTAACCCATAAACCGCTTTGTCAAGGATATAGAAATCATCATGAAACTTATCATTAACAAAACCAGGTGGTTGTTCGACATAAATCGTCTCTTCAAGAACACCATTAAGAAATGTGCACTTTACATCCATCTGGTATACGTTTAAATTCTTATGAGCTACATAAACCAGAAAAATTCATACAGTCTCGAATCTTGTGAAAGGGGCAAAGGTTTCTTCATAATCAATTCCCTCTTGTTAACAATAACTTTTTACTAATAATCTAGCTTTATTTTGTACAATATTACCTTCTTTGTCCATTTTATTCTTAGAAACCCATTTATGACTAACAATAGAAACATCA